TCTGTTCCTCCTACTCCTCCCGCCTGGAACGTTCTTCCCCAGGTAGAGCTGTGACTTACTCTCCCGACCGTTCCTGCTCTCAGCCCAGCATGATGAATTTAACACCACGGAGAACGATCTCGTCTTGGTAAGCTTCATTCACGCGCCCAGAACACTGGGTGCTCGGCTAGGCGTTACCTTCTGGGTCACACTGAGCACCTTCCCCTAGCCCATGTGAGGACTCTCCCCCAGCCCAAACCTGCAGCACCCCGAGGTCTCACATGGTCTATTACCCTCCGCAGCATTTCTCATCTCCAAAATGCCTGACGTTGTATTATTTGTTAGTGTCTGTCCCCCTGCATTCCGGCAGGTGCCACAGAGGGCAGAGGTTTCTCACCTTTTATTCACTGCCTGTCCAGGGCTGGGGGGGGAGCTGGCCAGCGGGAGCCTCAGCACCTACTCAATGGCGAGGGAAGGAGTGATCGAGAACGGAGCAATGGATGTAGCACTCTGAGGGCCTTTGTCACCCTGGCACTGAATCCAGGGGACCGACCACAGGGCCCAGACGACGCGAGGGGAGGGGAGTCGGAGGTAGGCCGTGACGGAGGACAGAGACACAGGCTGGGCGCACGAGGAACCGGACCGGGGCCTGGGTCTTGCTTTATGCCTGTTTTAGGGTTGGAATACGTGGGAGAGTGACAGACTGGTGCCTCGGGGGAGACTGGAGAGAGGGAACATGTGCTGGAGGGACCCCCTCAAGGGGGCGAGAGGAGATGGGATCTGGAATGTATCCAGGGCGTTTGGCCTGGGAAACACCCATATTCAAAAGAGAAAGTCAGAGATGACACAGGTGGGTTGATAGGCGAGCTTTGGGGAGTTAGGGACATTTTTCAGGTTGTTTCTCCTTTCTCGGGGAACTAGGAAGCAATTCCTAACTCTGCATGGAGGGGAGTGTTGGAAAGAGAAAGCCATGGTGTGGTGACCCCAGGAGACAGACAAGAGCCAGTGCTCTTGGGACAAGTCCACAGCCCAGCCGGGGGCTAAATCTGGGCCCCCCGCTGCTTTTGCAAACAGAGCCTCCTAGGAAACAGCTGTGCCCATTTCTCTACTGTCCCAATAGCAGGCTTTGCTCTCCGAGGGTGGAGAGCTCAGGCCCATAAAATCGAAAATATTCACGGTGTGGCCTTTTACAGAAAAAGTTGCCAACTCCTCCCCGTTCTAGAAAAACGGAGCCGATTTCCTGACAGTTCCGACGGCTCCCCGCACTAGGAGGTTGGTCGGTGGGCCTGCGTTCTTCCCGGGCCGCGTTCCCGTGTGAAGGTGCGCAGGTGGGCGGGCAGAGGGACTCCCCCGGGGCGGGCGTTTACCGCGAGTGGGAGGACAGTGGCGGCTCCAAGGTGCCGAGGATTTGCCAATGGAGTGACGTCAGGATGGCCCCCACACTGGAAGCTAGTTTCTGGGGGACCTGAGGACATGAGGGTGCAGGGTTGTGAGATCTAGGTCAATGCTACAGGACCCCACTGAGGGAGTGAGCCGGAAACGTAGCGAATGGGAGTTGGACGTGGAATGAATACAATTTCGATGATCCATGGTTTGCAGTTCCTGGCACTGAGGGGGGTGGGGATCGAGTGGCTGGGGTGGGGCAGGAGGCAGACCCCCTGGAGGAGAGGGGACTGCAGGGAGTCACTGGTCAGGGAGCCCCCACTCTGCGGCGCACACCCTCTTTGCACTGGTACATTTAGCATGACGTTTATACTTGGAGAAAGCAACAGGGACCCTATTCATGGAGAAAGCAACAGGGACCCTATTCATGGAAGGTACCTGGTGACTTGGATATAAAGGAGAGGACATTGAAGAATCCAGGGGGGAATCTTAAATGCATTGTGTGGATTTGTATAAGTACCATAACTGTAAACTTAAAATATGATTTTTATATCATTGGCATTCGTTCATTGTCATCTCTGCTTACTGCGTATGATCTAGGTTGCTTGGAACGTATGAGGGTTTTAAAACCACGGAGAACGATTTCCTCGTGGTCAGCTTCATGCACACGCTCAGAACACTGGGTGCTCACTCAGGCGGGGCCTCTCTTGAGAACTGGATCCTGTCCTGCTGAGCACGAGACCCTGGGGACACCGCCCAGAGAGACCCAGAGGCTGGGGAGCCCGTGTGGTCAGTCTTCAGGGTGGAGGTTGCTCAAGCACCCTCGTGGAGGGCAGTAGTGCTGAAGGAAATATGATGGTCAGTTGTGCTTTGCATTTTGGGGGTTTGTTTTGTAGGTTATTTCTCGGTCTAATCCTTGGTTTTCATATCTTTGATTGTTCTGTAAATCTGCCCCCGTGCTGTGCATATTTTCCAATACCACTGCTCTTTGCTTGCTCCGTCTCACACAAAGGAGAATAGCAGAATTACTAGATCTCTTTTCTTCCCTGTTTTAGTCCCCATTGTCTTTTCATTTGTTTTATTTTGTTTGGTATTTATATCTATAGGAGGTTCCATGGCTTAGAAATGCAATGGTCAAGATATATTTTATTTCATTTTAATATTACTTCATTTAATGTTTTATTTCTGCTGGTAAGTCATTTCTCTAATGAATTTAATAATTAGCTTATTTCATTTTCCAGGTGCTTGCCCAGTTTCAAGCACAATGGGTTTTAACAGCAAAGAGCGGAAGAGCCTGAAACAGACAAACAGGTAAATTTCACTCTCGCAGGGAGAAACTCAGTCCGGATTTATTTAAGCCTTTAGGGAAACATCGGATCCAAGCCAGCAGCCTCGAACCCCGACTTCCTCCACGGACTTCGAACCCCCTGCCAGAGGAAACCTTGCAGAAAACCCAGAGAGTGTTTCTTCAAAGTATGATAGTTTAACTCAGACTCCATCATGCCCGGCCTGTTTCAGGGACTGGTTACTCCCATGAACTATACAGGGATGGACACAAGTACAGTTATGGGTCCACGGATCAGAGTTTATTCTCGTATTATTTATTGATTATTGTATCACTTACTGGTGTGACAACTGTACACCGACTTCTGCCCACCCCTTAACTTTAAATGATATGCTTCTGATTTGTCTGAAAGGCAAAAAAATAAACCAAGACCGAAAGTCAAGTTCACTTGATTTTGAGTGAAGAAATCAGAAGCTGCTAGTTCTAAGGTGACTACGTACTCTGATTACACCCACGTCGGAACAGGCAAACGTTTTATGCTTGAAGTACTTTCCTGAGTCTTAACACTAGCTTGCTAATTCCCAAAGGATCACATGTCAATTACATCTCAGCAAAGTCAGGGGGAAATAAATCCCCAAAGGAAATGATGCACTTTATAGATACATGTGCATATAGAGAGAGAAATGACCCTTTTATTTTATTTTTTTAATTTATTTATTTTATCCTCACCCGAGGACACTTTTCCATTTTTTGTTCAGGTAGAGTGGGAGGGAGAGAGAGGAACAGAGAGAGAGAGAAACATCGATGTGAAAGGAACACATCGAGTGGCTGCCACCCGCACGACCGACCAGGGCCGGGGACAAACTGCAACCGAGGTACGCGCCCTTAGCGGGAACCGAACCTGGGTCTCTCAGGACCGCAGGCCGACGCTCAAACCGCTGAGCCAAACCGGCCAGGGCGAGAAATGACCCTTTTAAGTCTTCAAGGATTATAATTATTTTATAATGATCAGTTTTTGGAAAATCATAGAATGTGAAATTTTGTTCATGTTGATATTCTTTAACATGTAATTCTTGATCTTGTTTCTATGCTAAGAATTTCATAAACACTGGAAAGAATAATACCATTTGATAAGATTTAGATGGAGGAGAATTTTCTTATTGTCTTAAAAGTAACTTTTTGAAACCTAAGATATTTTGTCCAGACCTATTTACAATTATTGGAGACATTTTTAACCTAAGTCTATGAAGTTTCCAAATTGCCACTCAATAATACACAGATAATTGAAGACTAATACAAATCCTTAGGCTTCATAAAAATTAAGATTATTTTTGAAACTATTTATTATTTTTAAATTTTTTTTTTTTTTAATCCTCACCCGAGGATATTTTTCCATTTTTTGTACAGATAGAATAGGAGGGAGAGAGAGAGAGAAACATCGACGTGAAGGGACACATCGAGTGGCTGCCACCCGCACGACCAACCAGGGCCGGGGACAAACTGCAACCGAAGTACATGCCCTTAGCGGGAACCGAACCCGGGTCTCTCTGGACCGCAGGCCGACGTTCTAACCGCTGAGCCAAACCGGCCAGGGCAAACTATTTATTATTTTTAAATTGACATCACTTCTAGTTTGGCCAGAAGAAATTACACCTGAAGCAAATAAAAAGTCTAGAAAATACATTGCTTTTTTTTTTATCCTCACCTGGTGACATTTTTTTTTTGCATTTATCTTCAGATAGAGTAGGAGGAGGGGAGAGAGAGAGAGAAACATCGATGTGAGAGAGACACATCGAGTGGCTGCCACCCACACAACCCCAACTGGGGCCGGGGACTAACTGCAACAGAGGTCCGTGCCCCTAGTGGGAACCGAACCCGGGACTCTCTGGTCCACGGGCCGACGCTCTAACGGCTGAGCCAAACCAACCAGGGCAAAAATACATTTCTTTTAATGTCATCCCTCTCACCTTGATATTTTGAAGTGACCTGAGAAACCATATTTCCTCCTGAATTGGATTAGTCTTTTTGTTTCTCTGTTAGTTTATGAAGCACTAAAGGAAACACAAAACAACAAAAATTAGGAAAAAAGATAGCATAACCGGGGAACCGTGCTCATTTGCTAAATGAAATAACCTCTAAAGCCTTTACTGCCCCCGCCCCCGCTCCGCCCCAGCCCCCACTCCATGCTGCCTGTTCGCGCAGAGGATTTTCGCTGCACCTTGGCTTTGGGTCAGCTCTAGCGAGGGGAGGGCACCTGAAGGCCACAGGGCCCTGGCGTTTGGAAGGAGCGTGCACGCCCGGGAGAGAGGCCGGTGCCGCGAGACGAACAAGAAACCAGCGCAGAGACGGGTGCTAAGTACACAAAGCACACGAGTGTATTTATTCTGGTTTGCAAGCACTTGGTCCTACATTTCAAAAACGCCACCACTGAGCTGCTGGCACATTTATGTACAAAACAGATTCCTTATAATGCCTGCTACAAAGCACTCTCTGTGAAGATACAAACTCGAATACCGGGGGGAAAAAAGGCAAAAGCGTCAACATCGTTACAGAAGTTTAAAAGACAGTTTTAAAAATCATCACAAACTGTTAAGACACAGAACTGAAACACTATCATATAGAATTTAAAGAAGCCCATTAATACTTTTGCTGAATATCTGTAATACTGCATATATCAGAAAAATGTTGAACCAGTAAGATAATCTAAAAAAAAAAAAAAAGAAGCCAAACCCCCAAATTAATTAAATAATACTACAGATGCATTATCATGCCACAGAGAACCCTAGTAATATCCCTACGTACTACAAGAACTTGTAAAATTATGGGTGATGCATGACTGGTCATTGTACAAAGATTGTTCACTGGAGAAATTTTATTAGAAATGCACTTATACTGAGAAAAGATTTCACAATGGTCAAATCAGTGCACAGTACTACCTAGTTTTCATACACCGACAAAAATGTCTTGTCAAGCGACATCATTTTATAAGACACTTTGCAGCATTCTTGTAGCATTAGAAATAATCAAGAGTCAAGGTGAGAACAAACACCAAATTTGGTCCAATAACACTGATTGCTTCTTGTTATTCCTTTGATATAGGTACTTCTTATAAATGAATATGAATGAACATGGGGTTAAAATGACTGACTAGAAAAAAAACCACAGACAGGCCACTATACTTTGAAAGGATACATTGTATAGCGGCCTCTAACTATACTTTAAAAACACTACAGGTAAACCAACATAGATTGGAAGGCTGCAAGCAAAGCTATTATATTAATGGAAGCCTTTTCAAATGTATCATACACAGCTGACGGATCGTTTACAGAGGTGCAATCCATTGAACCTTTTGAAAGTAGGCAAAACAACTTCTGAGAGGTTAGTGTGCTTATTTTTCATCTACCACCTTCATGAAGGCAATTAACATTCCACATCAGCATATTAAAGTTCCAATCCAGCCACTGCTTAAATCGCAAAGAGAGCCTTCTCCCATTGTCCACATAGTTATTTCCATGAAACTGTCTCTGTCCTGAACTTAGAAAGGTAAGCCTGGTCTCACACTCTTAGAAAGGCAACTACATGCATCAGCATCACTGTTCATGCTCACAACACAAACTTGAAGAATCAGAGGAAAATCCCTCTTCAGTACATCAAGAAAAAAATACAATGTTAACAAAGATAAGAAGCACTTTTTTTAAACCTACTCTTACAAATTTAGAAATTGCACCTTAGATTGATGAAAACATTAACCAGAGCCTATAGCAGTGTGGCCACTGATCTTCAGACAAGAGTTCCATATTTCAAGAAGAGTCATCATGATATCATCTCTGTCTGTTGTTTATAATGTACAATGGTCCCTTTGAAGGTTACCTGTAGTCAAACTAGTTACCGAAATCAAAACTAAAAAGTATAAAAAGCTGTTTTTTATTTTCAAAACATAAGAAATAATGCAAAAGGGGTTATGTATAACACATGGAAAGTGGTTAAAAATCAAATAAATCTCTGCATTTGACAGTGTTAGTTTCATTGATCTTAGGAATTACTCAATGAGTCTGAGAAATTTAAAGAAGAAAAAGGCTGGATAGGAGCTTGTAGAAGACATCTGATTACATCAATTTAACAAATTCGGAAATTAAGTGCTACACAACAAAGACTTGTGTTCAGGTGATTCCTAAGTCACCCTCCATATCATTGATGAGAAGCACTTTCATTTTATTCTTCAGAAGGTTGGATGGTTGGATGGCCCTTAGTTGAACACCAATGCATCTGGACGGTCGGCGGGAGGTTTTGTTTATGTGTACGCGTTGAGCCGCTCTTTGGAGCGGGTGGAGTGGATGTCGTGCAGCTCCTGCTCCTCCTTGGACTTGATGTCCTCGTACTTCTGCATCCGGCAGGCATCCTTCACGTACGCCCAGTTGGCAGACAGAACCATAAGGTAGTGAACCTAATCAGAGACAAAAATAGTGCATACGGGAAGTCTGTTCAGTGTCTTCATGACACCTTGCCATCAGGAAAGAGATGTTCAAATTGTATACGTATATCAGATATGTGCATTAATAAAACATTAGGACCAGCATTTCTGTGGAAATAGAAACAATATTTCCTATTTCCTATGTAAAACACACTCCTTGCTCACTCGCTCACTCCTCAACTACAAGACACCATCTAGGCTCTCTTTCTTTCTTTCTTTCTTTCTTTCTTTCTTTCTTTCTTTCTTTCTTTCTTTCTTTCTTTTCTTCTTTCTTCTCTCTCTCTCTCTCTCTTCCTCCCTCCCTTCCTTCCTTCCTCCCTTCCTTCCTTCCTTCCTCCCTTCCTTCCTTCCTTCCTTCCTTCCTTCTCTCTTTCTCTCTCTTTTTCTTTCCTTCACTATCTCTGTTTCTTATCCTTCTTCAACTCTGAGGTATCTAAGACCGATTCTTAATCTTTATGTGATCTTTCCTGTCCATTCTGCCCACATCTGCCCAAACCACATGACTACACATTTTATGCCCATGTATCTATGCTTTCTGACCCATAAGTGGAAACAGTCTCATACACAGTTGGAGTCAAGTTGAATTACTGAGAGGATATACTGTTCACTGTGCAGTAGAAAGAGGGATCATGGAAACCGCAAAATAAACCTGTGGATTTAATGAGCCCGTTAATTTTTCATGCAGTGAATTTTGCAGTTCCCCTTAGATTCGAACTGTACAAGAGCAAGCATTGTGTCCAAAGGGTTTTGAGTATTTAGACAGTCACAACAGCTAGACTAGCACCATGTTCGAAAAGGGAGCTCCTGATCTCTCTGGACTGATGAGTCACTCAAGTAATGAAGACCCTGACTGGACTAGGACTGACTCAGCAATGAGATCACGATTGTTTTCTTTCCTGCCCGGCCTCGTGGTCCACAGGAGAGATAACGCAGTTTTCCACGTGACGGATTTTGCTGGATACACAGGAAAAGGGAACCACGCTTTCGGTTACTTACTTTCTCTACGTTTTAAAGGGTGGGCAATACTTTTCTCTACAATTTTGCCAAATAGAACGCTAAAACTTTGACTACTCAAGAATGCACTGACAGGCAGGAGGTAGGCTGGGCCTAGAAAAGCACAGATGGACAGAAAGAACGCGAAGTCAGCCCTGAATGGTGGCTACTGGGGTACAGCAAGGTAAAGCACAGGCAGGAGAGAAAAACAGAATGACTTTGATACGTGGCCAGAGTAGGAAGAACATGCCTACCAGTGAGACTAAGCTGTTCCCAGAATGTCCCATTTCCTCTGACATTCTGCGTGTGGGTAACAGAAACGCCCGCCCCCTGTCAGTGGAGCTGTGAACTACACCTGTGTCAGTCCACGGCCTTCCCCCGTGGAGCCGAGGGAGCCTGACACACCGGATCTCCGTGGCGCTTTGAGCTGTGAACATAGCAGGTGCTCAGCAAGGGGGAGGTTCTCAAACTATTTGCCACGTGAATAAATGCTGTATTTTCAGATGTTCAAACATGTTCTTTCAAAGTCTGGGGCAATACGGTCCCTAAGTTACTACCAAGTATATATGTGTTCGCACTGGAACCTCAGTGACGCTACAGCTCACAGCGGGCGCTTCCCAGTTGGTTCTCGGTCGTCTTGTCTGACCTCAGGGGACACGGGCCGCCAGGCTCATCACTGCCCCACAGCGGGTGAACACCATCCCTGGAACCTGCTACCTTGCCAACTCGACCCCTTTTGTTGGCATGTGGAGTTTCCTACTACCTCCCCCAAATAATGCGGTGCAGTGCATGCTGTTTGAGTACAACTGCTGAGAACCCCGGCCCTAAATTACGGACGATGTTGGAAACATTGTGGTCGAGGAGGGTTCATCTCGATTTCCTCGTCTGTCAGACGGAAACGACAGCAACGGCAGCTGTAGGGTGAGGGGTTACGCCCGGCGCTGCCCTGAGAGCCCCAAACTCACACGCCTGGAGCACCGGGCAGAGTAGGTGTAAAGAAACACTAGCCGATAGCAGTGCCTCTGGGAGCAGCACTGGGACCAGGAACCGCACGTAGCAAGCGCTACAGGACCCGTCTCCCGTGACCTAAGTGGCGACCAGAGCTAACCAATCAGAAATGCCGATGCAGGGATGCAGGTCAGAATTTAGATGCTGTGCATTCGTAAGGAATTTCTGCTTTGCAAGTGTTCAGATACCCAGAAATATGCTTAGCACTTTAACAATCCTCTAAACGCTTGCTGTTTGAAATAGAACGTGTTTGCAACTTAATACCTAACGCTATGCAAAGCATCAATTCCTTAAGAAATACATAGCATCTAGCCCTGGCCAGTTTGGCTCAGCGGTTGGAGCGTCGGCCTGCGGTCCGGAGAGACCCGGGTTCGGTTCCCACTAAGGGCACGTACTTCGGTTGCAGTTTGTCCCCGGCCCTGGTTGGTCGTGCGGGTGGCAGCCACTCGATGTGTCCCTTCACGTCGATGTTTCTCTCTCTCTCTCTCTCTCTCTCTCCTTCCTCTCTCTCCCTCCCACTCTGTCTGTACAAAAAATGGAAAAATATCCTCGGGTGAGGATAAAAATAAATAAATAAATAAAAAGGAGAAATACATAGCATCTAAATTTCTGTGGCCTTAAAATCCTGTGATGATAGATTCATTTCAGAGTAGGCACTGTTAGGACACTGTTCTCTTAGACAGGTACTATTCACAGAATTTTCCATGCCTGAAGGATGTGTCCTCTGGTCTCATGCACGGCCAGGCTGGTCTGCTAGGACCACGTGTGTCGGGAACATCACTCCCCAGACCACGTGGGTGCCTCCGCTGGGCATGTCTTAGCTCTGAGTTTAGGTCAAGATGACAAGGTCTCTGCTTATTGCTTCAGTGTGATCCCTCCAGTTAATCAGCCAAGGCGATCTTATTAAGCATCTCCCATTCTCAAATTAATTTCCTATTAGCGGTTTCTACACTAAATCTAAAATGTTGAACAAATACAATATAAAATTAAGGAAATATCTGAAAACTCACTTTAGCCCTGACAGAGCCCTTTTCATTAGATATTTTAAAAAACCATGTTCAGTAAAGCAGAACCAGACCTTAATACAAAAGTGAACATGAAGTTGCTAAAAAATAACTGGTCTGAAATTTCTCGTCTTCGTTTCTATTTTTCATCTCGGACAAGAAATAAAATGCTCCTATTTTTTTAAAGGTGTTTCTTTCACCAACACACCAGGCGATGTACCGGCCCCCTAGGAAAAGAACAAAATAAACCCAAATCGACTCACCATTTTTGCATCTTGAATTGGCTATAACACTGGTGAGGTCGCTAGGAACCTTCTAGATTTCTGTACTACTTATACCCAGGCTGAGGGCCGTGACTGACAAGCTATTCCTGCCGCTCTGAGTGTTTGTCGTGGGGAACCTGGACTTCCTAGTGACTCTTGAGGGGGAGAAGGATCACACACAGTAGGCCCCCCAACTTGCTAAATGCCTGACTTGCAGGACTCGGTAATATTTCTGAAGGAAATTAGATACGGGAGACATGACAGAAAACGTCTGAGATTTATTTTAAGAAGATGAATCCCTTTCTCCTAAGTGACTCAATGGCTCTTTGTGTTCTTATTTAAGGAGAAGAAAGGAGAAGGTAAGTTGAGCAACTGGTGCAGTTCCGTAGAGCACCTCACTGAGACACCCCTACTGTGCAGAGACCATTCTCACGCTCCCAGCAGGTGCAGTCCCGTAGAGCACCTCACTGAGACACCCCTACTGTGCAGAGACCATTCTCATGCTCCCAGCAGGTGCAGTCCCGTAGAGCACCTCACTGAGACACCCCTACTGTGCAGAGACCATTCCCACGCTCCCAGCAGGTGCAGTCCCGTAGAGCACCTCACTGAGACACCCCTACTGTGCGGAGACCATTCCCACGCTCCCAGCAGGTACAGTCCCGTAGAGCACCTCACTGAGACACCCCTACTGTGCAGAGACCATTCCCATGCTCCCAGGAGGTGCAGTCCCGTAGAGCACCTCACTGAGACACCCCTACTGTGCAGAGACCATTCCCACGCTCCCAGGAGGTGCAGTCCCGTAGAGCACCTCACTGAGACACCCCTACTGTGCAGAGACCATTCTCACGCTCCCAGGAGGTGACGGTCGGATTACCAAGTCTTACCTCTGCTGCAATGACAATACTTCTTTAGGTTAATCATTTATTAACCCAGCATTCCCCCGCCCTTTTTTATTGATAATAAAATAAGTGGTTCCTTTGGACTGCAGGCATTTGAGAGTCATGATCCTCTCTACAAGCAAATACCTCTGTGATTCAAATTGAAAAGCCAAGCCCAGGGTCTCGAGGTCTTCTTACCATGGCGATGACCGCTGCCCCCGCTCCAGCCAGGGCCACGATGAACAAGTGGAAGGTCATGTTCAGCTGCAAGGAAACCAGAGAACCAGCACGTGAGTCAAGGGCTCAGACAGAAGCGAGGTCAGGCCTGCGGCTTATGACTAGGAGCTCGGTGCCTCTTTAGCAGCGAGAAGCCACTGACTCCACAAACATCCCTCTAGTATCTCCGCTCCTGCAAACCATCCCTCCGAGCGGCAGCGTTGTTAACGCGCTCTCACCATAAAGATGAGGCCGCGATTCGTGGTGATGGTTGTCAGCAACGTAACAACGTAAGGCTCTGTTCTCTCTTTTTAAATAAAACTATGAATTTACAGCATCCATGAAAATGACAGTTTCTAGACAAAAGTTAATGAGTTCATGATAATTTCTGCTGAAATGCACAGAGCATCTCACTCAGACGTATTTCCTAGCCTCCCCCCCGTAACGTCACTGCAAGGAGCATCGCCCCGAAAGCCAGGGGGGCCGTATTTCCTAGCCCCCCCCCGGTAACGTCACTGCAAGGAGCATGGCCCCGAAAGCCAGGGGGGCCGCTGCCGCCCTCCTCGAGCCACACAGCACTGAGACCGCGCCGACGTCACGGGCCGCGAACCCTCACCTCCGTGGACTCGCACATCCTGAGGAAGTTCTCGGAGACCGTGCAGATCTTCTTCTCCTCGCCGATGGTGACGATGCCTGTGAGCGGCAGAAAGGGACGGTTAGCGCCCACGTTCCCTGGGGCCCGGAGGGACAGGGAACTTCGGCCGTGAACACCTAAGCAAGTGCGTTTTCTCTTGTATCACAAGAGAAAAGCCCGTCTCGGCTCTGGCCGCTCAATGCCGATGGTGAGCAGGGGTACGGGCCAGGTCCGCCCTCGCCGCCCTCCGGCAAGGTCACCTCGCTCGTCTGGATTCGCGGGTCTGGCACCAGCGCCCGGGGGGCAGCGGCGGCCAGGGCACCGGTTCGGCCCAGCCGTGACCTGGTGTAGGCACCCCAGGTGCGGACAGCCTTGTGCCAGGCCCGGATCTCAGTGTGTCCTGCGGGCACAACCCTCCGGCCGTCCACGGAGGCAGCTGCCCAAGGAGGCCCCCTGCTCCTCCCGTCGGTGAGTGGGAGCAAGAGCGGGTTCCACCCGATCGCCCTCGGCCCGGTCGGTTTACAGACCGACTGCCTCAGTCCGCTTGGGGCACTTGTCACAGATACGGGTCTGTGGCCCCACAGAGAGGGTGGGATCGGAACCGGGGCGTCTCCACGCGGGGCCGTGGAACTCGTCCTGGAGAAGTGACCACGTGTGTCCTCCCGGGCCTTTGGTTTGTGTTCAGCACCACCGAAGTGTCCCCACAGACACACAAGGAAAAAACCGCAAGTTCTGGGCTGTCCGCATGGCTCATGCCTCAGGGTCAAGGTGCTTGTAGGATTATTTCATTAAAACAACACTCCCGTGCAGGACACGGAATGGAGAGCTCCCTCTCTGTGGCCGGCCCTCTGGGCCCAGGCGGCTTCGGCGGGGACCCACCTTCCACGTGTCTGATGAGGACGGTGGAGGCCGCCGCTCCCCATCCTGATCCGGGGTGGGGGCATCCTGTGACGCCCATTTCTTCACTCACAGGAAACCCTAGAAAGCCCCGTCCAGGGCACCGGCTGCGATCCCTCCTTCCTGGGCCACGTGACCCCTTCCGGTCGGACTTCACCCCAACCTCCATGGACGCTCTTACAGAGCTCACCCAGACCCCTGCAGAGGGCACAGGGGGTCTCTCATGCTCCTGCCCTCAGGCTGCCCTCCTCCAGGGGTTGGCAAATCCCTCCCCTCTGGGGCCCCGTCTGGCTCCCCCTCTTCTCCAGGAAGTTTCCTTCATGTGCCTCCCGGGTCCAGTCCTCCTCCTCCTGGACGATCTCCCTGAGGCTCAGGGCTTCGGATTTTAAATACTATCCACTCCTCTCTCCACACCGCCAGCCCACACCCCTCTCTGAGTCAAGATTCACACATCCAAGTTCCTCCTTGATAACACCATTGAGATTCCAATGCGAGCTGAAAATCCCCACTCCTGAGACGGGGCCTCTCCAGGGCCATCCCTTGTCATCTGAGAGTAACCCAACCTTCCCACTTGATCAGTGAAAATAAACTCCTTGAATCTTCGTTTTCTCTCACCCCACAGACAACCTCTCATCTGCTGCCCATCCTCCAACACATGGGAACAGACCAGTCCTCCTGCCCATCTCCCCATCCACCCTCCTACCCCTGTCTCCCCATCGATCCTCCTACCCCCTGTCTCCCCATCGATCCTCCTACCCCCCTGTCTCCCCATCCATCCCCCCACCCTCCTGCCTCCCCATCCATCCTCCTACCCCCGTCTCCCCATCCATCCTCCCCACCCTCCTGCCTGTCTCCCCATCCACCCTCCTACCCTCCTGTCTCCCCATCCATCCTCCTACCCCCGTCTCTCCATCCACCCTCCTACCCCCCTGTCTCCCCATCCACCCTCCTACCCCCCTGTCTCCCCATCCATCCTCCTACCCCCCTGTCTCCCCATCCACCCTCCTACCTCCTGCCTCCCCATCCATCCTCTTACCCTCCTGCCTCCCCATCCACCCTCCTACCCCCCTGTCTCCCCATCCACCCTCTTACCCTCCTGTCTCCCCATCCACCCTCCCCACCTTCCTGCCTGTCTCTCCACCCATCCTCCCCACCCCCTGACTGTCTCTGGGTCCTGGCCACAGGTCTCTCCTGCGGGTTCCGGGGACTCACTGACATCGCCGCCTGTTGCTAGTCTGTTCTCCATACACAGGCCGGGGGACCCGCCTACAACAGAAAGCCTGCTTGCTTCCCTTCTCCCGAATACAGACCCCACCACGGATGTCCTGCAGCGCCCTGTCCCACCACGCTGCACGAACTCCCAGACGTGCTCTCCCTCCGTCCCCCTGGTCCTCCCTCTCCTCCAGCCACACTGGCCTCTCTGTGGCTTGGGGAGGTACCAGGCATGGTGTCACCCTGGAGACTGCATTGATCTCCCCTCTGCTCAGAAGATCCCCAAGTCCCTCATTTCCTTCAAATGACAGCTACCGGGACCCTGTCTCCATCACCCTTTACAGTGCTGTGACCCCCCGGGCCCCGTCCTCCTGTGGCATAGATACCAGTGCAGGGCTGTGATATAAACACCACCTGCCACACATGTGCGGGCTGCCAACAACCGTCTGGGAGCCCACGCTTGCGACTCCGAAGCCGTGGAAACGAGCACGTGTGTACACGCCCGGAAGCCCGGTCACTTCCATGCACGTGTCGCTCTGGGACGGCCAAATGGGCTGCACCCCCAAACGAGAAAATACTCCAATTTGCTATTTCTGCTGAACATTGACTACACCTATATATTTGACTTGCGAGATACAGAAACGTTTCTCGCTAAAAGACACAGAGCGATGTTTCCAGTTTCCCGACAGCAAGTCGCAAGCGGGTGGTAAGGGGCCAGGCTCACACCGCGCCGAGGACGGGACAGCCAGGACCCCACACGCTGGGGCTGGAGCCACAGGCTTTCTCTGCAGTTTCTTAATGTCGTGTAAGCTGGTTAAGCAGAAGCAATATACCTCTGGCTTTGCAAGAACCGACTGTGCCTGAAACATGAAAAACCTCAGAGAAAACGATGCATGATGTGTGTACACGGTCACTGTGGCTGGTCAGTTCTTACCAAGGACATTGTAAGCCTGCGCCGGTGGGAAACAGTAGATATTATGCTGCTATGATCCACTTAGGGAGAAAGGAAATGAACTCTCCACCAGGAAATATAAATGTTTAGTTGTCCACTCGGGTGTCCACTGCGTCGGTAGCGTTGAGGGTGAAGGAATAAAGCCTCTTCCAGCTTCTCCCCTGCTGCAAATCTCCCACCCGAGCCCCTCTGTGTCCTTGTCCCACAGCCTGGCGGCCTCTTCGTGTCCACTTCTCCCCTTTCCTCGTGAGGACAGTGGCCCAGCCGGGCCATCCAGGACAAGGACCCGATCTTCAGGTCAGTTGACTAGTAACCTGAACTCCCTCCATAACCAAGTTCCCCTTGGACAGGTAGGCTAGCGTGGGAACACCTCCACAGCGGAATGACAGACGGGAACAGTACGGCCAAGACCTTCCCGCGTCGTTCTTGGGCAATGCAGCAGAAATGAATGTGGCTCGGAAAACAGCAATGTCACCGACTAAGGACACAGATTTCCCAGGCACAGCGTCTGTGTCTAGGTCCCGCTCGAACCTGAAGCGCCCTTTTGAACGAAGCAGACGACGTCAACGTTGTTCTCTGTGCTGCTTCTGGCAGATGCAGCCCAGTCCTCTGTCCCCTGTCGTGGAAACAAGGCTGCCGTCCGTGATCTCAGTGTGTGTCGCACTTTATCAGTTTCACTGTTTTGTCCTGGACGTGCTCTTCTCTTGCAGAGATGTGCGGCACTTCAGCATCAGGGGAGCTCAGCAAGTATTTGTGGGGAAAAGTGTGGCGAAGTGGGTGACGGACGGGAAATCCTGCTGGAAAATCAGACCTGGGCAAGCTGCCCGCCCCGCCCCGCCCCCGGGACCAGAGTGGGCGTGGCCGAAAGGCAAGGGAAGCCCCGCCCACTGCCCACTACCTTCTCCCTATGTTGGTCCTGAGGTGGTTTCGTCAAATCTCCAGGTTTGAACGGAGCACAGTTTTAAATCCTGGATCTAGATGATATTAGGGGGACCAGTTCTAATACTGTTTTATGAAACAAATGTACTGGGATAACTACCTAATACATTCGATGCCCTTCATTCTCTGTACATGGCATTGAAGGACCACAAAAACTACAAGTATTACAAATTAAAACAGTAAGTAAAATGATTCCATGACACACGAGGAAACCTTGTTAGAGAAAACCATTTACAGTGTCCCCAGATGCTAGTAGGTGAGATTTTGATAGCCATTCTGTGAAAAAAGTCCATGCGAACATGTGAACTTGTGTGTCTCTTAAAAAACCTGTAGCTCCCACAGTTTTACAAAGAGAGGATAGACTTCCGAACAGTGTAGGTGAGATGGGACCCCACCTTTACACATTCGTAATTCAGCACCTGCTGCAACAGGAGGGGCAGAGGACTTCAGGTAGAAAGCCAGAGGCTGCAGCCAGCCCGTGGGTGGCATCTGCTGGGGCACCAGGTACCAGATGCGTGACCGTGGCCAAGCCATTTGTCCTCCTTTGCCTCAGTCTGTCATTTATAAAGAACGTAGTGATAGCTTCCCCCACACAGAACTCTTGTGAGAATTAATCAAGTCAGCATATATAAACCATTTAAAACAAGGTCTCCACCTCACAAGCCCATATACACATGAGAAACTATTGTTGTTACATGAGGTTTCAGCCCCAAATAAAAATAACCAATGAGGACTGCTGATTTATTTAACATTCTTTGATGTTGTTATTATTAAATGCTAAGTATCTTTGCCCTACTTTAGGAGACAATGAAGTACATATTTTTTAGGTGGTCTTTGGACTAGATCTCATGAGTTATGTAGCTGATCCTGGGGCAGGAGCGTAGGCTGCATACTTGCTCCTGAGTCTGGGGACGTGCAAGGAGCTGGGACAGTAGCGTAGGGTATGCACATGCCCCTGAGTCTGGGGATATGCAAGGAGCTGGGACAGTAGAGTAGGGTATGCACATGCCCCTGAGTCTGGGGATATGCAAGGATCTGGGACAAGAGCTAGGCTGCACACGTGCCCCTGAGTCTGGGGACATGCATGGAGCTGGGACAGGAGCGCAGGGTGTTCACGTCCCTGTGAGTTTGGGGACATTCAAGGAGCTGGGACAGGAGCGTAGGGTGCACACATGCCCCTGAGTCTGGGGACGTGCATGGAGTTGGGACAGGAGCGCAGGGTGTTCATGTCCCTGTGAGTCTGGGGACATGCAAGGAGCTGGGACAGGAGCGTAGGGTGCACACATCCCTGTGAGTCTGGGGACATGCAAGGAGCTGGGACAGGAGCGCAGGGTGTTCACGTCCCTGTGAGTTTGGGGACATTCAAGGAGCTGGGACAGGAGCGTAGGGTGCACACATGCCCCTGAGTCTGGGGACGTGCATGGAGTTGGGACAGGAGCATCGGGTGCACACATCCCTGTGAGTCTGGGGACATGCAAGGAGCTGGGACAGGAGCGTAGGGTGCACACGTCCCTGTGAGTCTGGGGCATGCAGGGAGCTGGGTCGGGCAGTCACATGTCCGCTGTAAATGCCGCTTGTTCACAGGGAAGACTGCCCCCAAGCGTACGAGGCTCTGAGAGCTTCATCTCCAGGGCAGGAGGAGTCATGGTGGTTCTAAGGTGATGGGCAATATCTCTGAGGCAGGTGCTGAGGGAAGACACTGGGAGGTGTTGTCTTAGAGGTCTACCTACCGAACTGACGCAGGTCCAGGCAGAGATTGGCCCCCTCCACCAGGGTGCTGTTCCGGCAGATGGTCCACAGGTTGAAGTACATGTACACGGGCAGGGAGGTGAATGCCGTCACCCCCAGCCAGGCCAGCATGAACAGGTACGTCATCATGATAAACTGCAGCGAGAAAGAGTGGAGAGAGGGTGTCACCCACTGGGAAAGAAAAACCTTCGTTTATGTGACAGCGCGCCACGGGGAAGGATTTCTGTGCTGTAGTCACCACACTGGGCAGCAGGGGGACTCGGGGCCCGGTGAGCAACCTGCTGGCCCGTCGCCGGGAACAGGTTTGCACGGACCAGGAGTGTCGCCTGCCTCTCAATGCCCATTTCATTCATGTATTTACCAAAATCTCACCACACTTTCTTTAAGCTTCAGACAACACTAACTGGAATATTTAGAGTGAATCGTGCAAAATGAGCCTGAACGGTGTCATTTATATTACAACGTAACGCACATCTTTCCGTGTCAGAAATATCTGAGCTACTTGATCATGTTTACGTAACATTATAAAAACAGTGATTCTCTTGTCTCTTTAGTCTATGGTGATAGCAGCGTGAATTTCTACTCCCCGTTTAGTGGTTTTTGTAAACTTAAAACCTAAGTCTTTCACACATATTAATTTTACTTTTGCTATCAAAACACTAGTAAAATGTGATTTTAGGTTTGAAAATAAAGCTTTTTATTTATTTCATAAATATTTTTAATATTAACAAAATATAGTAAAAGGCCATTGGTATGTGCCAGGTAAAGCTGGATGAGACCCAGCCCCAGAATAGGATAAGTGGATTTTTAGTTCCACCGTGGCTTAGACGCTGCATAAAATGACGGATGGATGCATGTATTGGTAGATGGATGATTACCTGAAAAAACATAGATCTATCAATGCTGCTTCAAATTACTTACCAATTATTTAACCCATATTATCTGAATATAAGATAGCTTAAATAAAAATAGACCCTGAATGTCTCAGCTCACACTTGTACTATGACTGTCTTCAGATATTACTGAACAAGAACAGGTTAGGGCACGAGCCCTCAGGGTAAATGCAGGCTCAAGGCACACACTGACACAGATTGATATTGATGATATATATATATATATATGTGTGTGTGTGTATATATTTTTTTTTTTATCCTCACCCGAGGACATTTTTCGATATTTTGTTCAGATAGAGGGAGAGGGAGAGAGAGAGAGAAAAACATCGACGTGAAAGGGACACATCGAGTGGCTGCCACCCGCACGACCAACCAGGGCCGGGGACAAACTGCAACCGAGGTACGCGCCCTTAGCGGGAACCGAACCCGGGTCTCTCAGGACCGCAGGCCGACGCTCTAACCACTGAGCAAAACCGGCCAGGGCTCTTTTTTTTTTTTATCCTCACCCGAGGATTTTTTTTTTTTTTTTTGGCATTTATCTTCAGATAGAGTGGGAGGGAGAGAGAGGAAGAGAGAGAGAGAGAAACATCGATGTGAGAGAGACACATCGAGTGGCTGCCACCCGCACGACCAACCAGGGCCGGGGACAAACTGCAACTGGGGCACGTGCCCTTAGCAGGAACAGAACCTGGGCCTCTCTGGTCTGCGGGCCGAGGCTCTAACCGCTGAGCCAAACTGGCCCCGGGTGATTGATGATATTTCTTCATGCAAGTTATGTGTCACTGGATCTGTCAGCCTGTTTCCCACGATCAGAAGAATCCACCGCATGAAGTGTCTCCATGTAGGTAAACACCGCCCAGAAAAAGTCGAGGACAGAAGGAGCCTCGTGAGAGCTTCCACGTCATTGTGTCACGTGGCGCTGATTCATCAGACTCAGGTGTCAGAGATTAAAACCTAGAGTGTCCCTGAACAGTAGCCTACTAAGAAAATCGCTACCCTAACGGTGGTCCGGCCTCAGTGTCGGCCTCGGGTTCCTCCTCCGCGTCCCGGTCTGGAAACAGCACAGCTTCCTCCATCGTCGGGCCTGTCCCGACCTGGGGACCAGCCCGCTGACTGCAGCCAGGCACGGACGACGGGGACGGACAAAAAGGCAGGAGAGACGTTTCAGGACTACATTCGTGTCCATACTGCAAGGATTGACCCACAGATGTCACTGACACGGTGTCCGGGGACTGAAGGAATGAGACAACGTCTCTCTCAGCTGCTGCTCTGTACCCTGGGGAGCAGAGGGGGCACCCCGTTTCCTGCCTGCGAGGAACCCAGGTGTGCAGACTTCTCGCTCAGAGACGATGCCAGATGTCTTCCCAGGTAACTCACGGAGTAGTATGCTCTCCAGCTACAGGTTTTGTTTTTCCTGATTTGTGTTTTGTATATTTCCTCCAAAGGAACACAGTTCCCCTTCCTTTCTCCCTCACAACCCAGCTACCCTTCAGTAGCTCTTCAGCAAAGGGAAGGTGGATGAAGCTTGGTCTGTGTGCACACGCACGCCGTCTCGGACCAACGACCTGAACTGGCCTCCGGAGACATTTCCTAAGTTTGACTGGATTGTATTTACATAATCAGAGTCAGAACACATGAGGCTAGCACATGTGAACATAAGTATAAACATAAAATTGTGTTTTTAATCCTGTATTTATTTTAATTTTTTATTACAAATTTTTTTAGTGTTAACATTATTGCAGGAGTTCACCCCCCCTCCCTTGCCCACCTCCTCCCTCTACCACCTCCCCCTTCCTTGGCCTTTGCGAAATCAATGTCTGTGTCTGTGGGGTATGCATATATGTTCTTCAGTGATTTCTTCAACATACTCTGCTAACTAACGCAGCGATAGAATTCTACTTGACAATGTCTGAAACACAGCCCAAGTTTCTACAGATATTTGGTCCCTTCTTGAAGAGAAGCAAAATTTATTCTAGCTTACCTTGAACACCTCAGGTAGTCACACTTTCAAAATGACAATGCAACATAAAATACATACACTGCACTAAACTAAATATCTTGTTCAATTCTGCATTACTTTGGAATGAGTTATAGCTAGACTTTACTCCATGCTCTCGGTAAAACCTCAAACAAGTGACACTTACTTAGTAACTCAAGTATATACCAAAATAACACTTTCAAGAAAACTTGGGGACAGTGTTATGGCAGCTTAGGCACCTCTATTAGAGTAGTATTGTGGCCCTGGCCGGTTTGGCTCAGCAGTTAGAGCGTTGGCCCACGGACCAGAGAGTCCGTCCGGGTTCAGTTCCCACTAAGGGCACGTACCTCGGTTGCAGTTTGTCCCCGGCCCCAATTGGGGTCGTGTGGGTGGCAACCAGTCGATGTGTCTCTGTCACGTCGATGTTTTTTTTCTCTCTCTCTTCCCCCCTCTCCCTCCCATTCTATCTGAAGATAAATGCAAAAATGTTCTCAGGTGAGGATAAAAAAAAATAAAATAAAAACTATTGTGATTAAAATTGACAGAGATTTGGGGTTAAGGGTAGTAGGAAATTTATATAACAAATTTGAAAAGAGCCAGGAAAAGCTAAGGAGACCTGAGATCAAACTTGTCACCTATAAATTGCCAAATGTCACTGTACTTCAGAAACCTGGAGTGTAATTAGTACATACCTTCTAATAACATTTTTGTCTCCTCTCAAAGCGGACTTCCTATTAGCCTGTGCTATGAAATCCTAACACCGTCCTTAAACTGTGCTACAGCTGACTGACTTACACCTTTCACATTCCAGATGAAACAAGGCCTGGTCTAAAAATATTAGCAAGTAAAACTTCTTGGCTATTGAGTTATTCAAATCAGTGTAAATACTTCTATGGCTATCGATTCTTTTAATGGAATTATTACAGTTTCTCTCTTTTAGACTTACTGGACAAATACTTAACGAGGACCTCCTGCGTACAGGCGTACAGTGGGATTTCAGCCAGAGAATGATAAACACTGCCTTCTTATTTTCCTCACCAAAAGAATAAAAGTTTTCCACATGAAGGTCAAGGCAACATCTGGTCTTGAAACATCCGTGACTGTCGAGGCGGTACACGTGTTCGACTCCATCAGTGAGAAAGGAAGACACTTCTTGGGTGGTCTTTCTTCTTTCTCCCTTCCGGGTGTGGTGTGAAGTGGTCAGTGAGGAAGCTCCCTGGGCAGCTGCCTGCCACCCTCTCTGCCGGCCTCGGCACCCGGCTAGGCGACCCGGTCCGCAAAGCTGCAAAGCACCAATAGCCACTGTGGTCTCAGCACCCCTCCCCTTCTGACTCCCTGCATCTGGTGACGTCACACATGATATTTTCCACTCTTTGCCCCTGGATTCTGACCCGTGAGAGTCAGTAGAGACGGACTGACTGATGTATCAAGTGCTGACATGCCACTTACTTGCTGTGTCCACGACCGAAATGTTACATTTGTTCAGCAAGACACGGGCTTGACAGCATATGGCCAAAGGCACAGGCTGTGGGGCCGGGTGGGGTCAGGCGCTCTTTACGCTGCTGGTTGGCCTGTGTGAAGGAACTGCTGTGGATCCGATCTCCCGTGTCGGGGGAGGCTGGAGCGAGGTGCTGCGTGAAGAACACGCAGCGTAGACCCCGGCGCAGAAGCAGCACAGATGAAGTATTGACCACTTTTGTTCCGCTTAGCATTCCGTGATCACCACCACCACCCAAGTGTGCGGTGGGCCCGGAGGACAGGCCCCTACAGAGGAAGGCAATTCGATTCCATTTCATGTCTGGAGAAAATGTAGAGGATGAGAAGTCCCCGCGTGTGGAAAAGTTATTCAGAGGGGCTTCCGCTCGAGCAGGGAGGTTCTAGAACATCTGGAAACCACCCACGACGGACGAGGTCTTGTTCATGAGACGCGTTGGCGTTCAACGCCCTCTTTATGGACATTTGCATCAGGTGCAGCTGGACCTCAAGGCTCCTGTGGTCTCCAGGACAGTAACAGGGTGCGGCCGCTCGGAGCAGTTCTTTGCAGAGTTAGAAGCACTCGAAAGCCCTTGGAAGGTCCTCAGCATGCTTCTGGCCATGTCCCCTCCTTTTTCACTTGGTTCTGTCCCAGGAGGTTTTGCAAAAGCTTCTTTTGAACAAGGTGTAAAGTGGGACATGTGACCCACTAGGCTGGGACTCAGGGTGCAGTAGACACTCGGAAGTGGGACCCAGCCCTGGCTCCGATCGGCCTCCCTTTCAGGGTTCAA